ATTTATATTCATATTTATATTTATATTTATATTTATATTTATATTTATATTTATATTTATATTTATATATATTGGTGTGAGGGAGAGTTGAATGGCTCACCTGAGAAGGCTGTGAGTTTGAAGCAAACGGCGCCAAGCCAACCCCAGGCCTCTCCAGCACCCTCCGAGTGATAGGTTTCAAGGAAGAAGATAGATCTGCGTAGAAAGAAAAAAAAAAAAGAAAACATAAACTGATTGGTTTGCGGGTGAGTCAGAGGGTTTAGGGTTTAGGGTTTAGGGTTGGCGCAGCAGCAGACGCAGCAAACAGATATAAAGAAAGAACAAATTCAGGTATGAAAAGGAAACATAAATCCAAGTATATAAAGGAAAAATAAATCCAAATATAAAAAAAAATAAATTCAAATATATAAAAAAATAAATTCAAATATATTAAAAGAATAAATTCAAATATGTAAATTAAATAAATTCAAATATATTAAAAGAATAAATTCAAATATGTAAATTAAATAAATTCAAATATATAAAAAATAAATCCAAATATATAAAAAAAATAAATTCAAATATATAAAAAAATAAATTCAAATATATTAAAAAAACAAATTCAAATATATAAAAAATAAATTCAAATATAAAAAAAAATAAATTCAAATATATAAAAATTAAATTCAAATATATAAAAAAATAAATTCAAGTATATAAAAAATAAATTCAAATATATAAAAAATAAATTCAAATATAGAAAAAAACAAATTCAAATACATAAAAAAATAAATTCAAATATATAAAAAAAATAAATTCAAATATAAAAAAAAACAAATTCAAATATAAAAAAATAAATTCAAACATATAAAAAAATAAATTCAAATATATTAAAAAAAAATAAATTCAAGTTTATCTGACCCTGCTAGGAAAAACATGGCGATGGCGTCACAGAAGCGAGCAGTGAAGAACATAAGCCAAGCGGAGCCTCCGCCTATATTTCTATTCATCCAGGGATCATCGAAATAATAATTTGCAGAATAAACAACTAATAAAGATAAAGTTGCAGATACAAGACCAAAAGATGAAGCTTGTTGTAAGAACTTGCTGCCGCTTCTATGACCCCGAGATTGCTTGATGCTGCATTCAAAACATACAAAGTTTACACAGAAACGCACGATGAAACAATAAAAAAAAAAAAAAAAAGAAGAAAGTTTCTGCTTCCTTTTCTTTTTCTTTTCTTCGCTGCTTTCTCGTCTATTTTCATGGTTCTCTAACTTCATAGAAAGCTGTTTCACTGAATATTCAAAGAGGTTTTATGGTTCTGGTGATGATATGTAGTGCATACAACACAGCAGAAACTCAGCAGCAGAAACTCAGCAGCAGAAACTCAGCTGAAACTGAAGTTTCTGGTTTCTTAGAAAGGTTTCTGAAGAACACACCTGCTGTCGTCGTCAGTGGTGGATTGAAACGCCAAT